AAAAGCTATGGATATAGAACTAAATAGTTTCTTTCTGCCTGTTACATGTCAAGGGTTGAGATCTGTTGAGAAAGTTCCTTCAGTTTTAAAGTTAACATCCATCACAACAAGGCCAGCTGGTTAACTGAAAACTGCTTTCTGAAGATCCATTGTACTGAGTAGGATTAACTAGCTTATTAAATTCAATATGCCCTTCATACATGTGATTTTTTTCTTAACAGGCATTGCATATTTCACTAATATGAAGATTAAATTCAGCTCATCATTTCCCAGAGATATCGGCAGTGTATAGTTAATTAAACCTAATTATGTCGGTACATGAGTACAAAGAGTGCTTTGAGCCTCACATTGCTGTCTAGTTGTTAAAAAAAGATGTTTTGAAAAATTTTGCCTGTCTGAAATACACACCTGCTACCACATAGTCACAGGAAAAAGGTTAATCACTACCTGATTAAAATGGTTAGGCTTCTGAAAATGAGGAAAAGTGGGTAATAATGCTGTTGACTTATCTAATTGAAAATCTTACCAGCTGTTATTTGTTCCAGGTGTCAGCAACTTTTGCGGCAAGTTTAGTTACCAGCCCGGCTATTGGTGCCTACCTTGGTCGAGTCTACGGAGACAGCCTGGTTGTGGTCCTAGCGACAGCAATAGCCTTGTTAGACATCTGTTTTATTCTTGTTGCTGTACCAGAATCACTGCCAGAGAAGATGAGGCCAGCATCCTGGGGAGCACCCATTTCATGGGAACAGGCTGACCCTTTTGCAGTAAGTTATTTAAATATGGAATATTTTGTTATTGGTAAATGTTGAGGTTTTGAGACGGGAAAGAGGCTGAACTTACTACATTTCAAGCTTAAACAAAGCCCATATTTTTTTCAAGTTTAACCTTGTGTCACTACTAATACTTTTGCCAATGACCTTGCTAAACATGCAGGAAATGTTTTGGTGGTACCACATATCTTCATTAACTAACCTGCTTTTCCGATTCTTGCTAGGTGTGCTTTTCTGGATATGAAGATTAAATGTTTTATTATACTTTTTTCTTGCCATAGTCGCTGAAGAAAGTCGGCCAGGACTCCAT